TGCGTGGCACCTCTCATGCTTCCAGGCGTGTGGGTTTTACGGTGACTGTAAACATACTCACATAGCTGTGCTTGCGGGGGGGGGGGGTTGAGCTTTGGCTCTTTGGCCCCGCTTCTCGACCCTTAATATACTGGTGCAATAGATTGGGTAAAAGTGTGTAGCCAAGTTTTTTAGGGTCAACTCATTCTATCCTTGACTCTATTCTATCTACATCCTTTACCAGCTGCTCTATACTCGGGTTGATCATCTCTGCAACTTCCTGGGGGGCGCCCGCCCCTCCCTTACTCGTATCACTATCTACTGTAAGGCAAGACCTTGGCAAACCTTCCTTCATTATCTACTTACCCTTAAGGAAATACTTGGTGTTGACCAGACCACACACTAAAAGGTGAAGGGACGACGACGTTTCGGTCCGTCCTGGACCATTCTCAAGTCGATTGTGACTTGAGAATGGTCCAGGATGGACCGAAACGTCGTCGTCCCTTCACCTTCTAGTGTGTGTGGACTGGTCAACATACTTTAGCCACGTTATTGTGACTCATCGCCTGCATAAGGAAACACTTGGTAACACTCTGGTATTGAACATCCAAGACTTCGTTAAGCCATTACGATTAATCAATCGTAATTTCGCTAAACAAATATAACTGTAATTCACTAGAAGATGGCAACAGCGTGATATATCCCCAGACGCGCGCCTTAACCTATTGGGCCACGCTACACTAATGAGTAATTAGAACTCCATTACCTACGAAGTGCTTGCGGGTAATCTGTAAAATAAAACAACTTTAATTGTCTACCAGCTCAGTGCATCAAGACTCCTTAATTCAGACGGATCTCAAGTTAAGTTACTTCTTTTAGTACATCGTGGAGCAATAGGTTAAGGTGACAAATGACGCAGGTTCGATCCCCCGACTGATCCACTGATTTTCGCATAACTCTAATACTTTCAGCTTTGTTATTGTAAAAACAGCAAGGAGCTCTAATGACTTATACTAAAGGGGGAAAAACGAGTTTATTAATTAATCAATGCGAACAGCTATGACAGACAGAAAATAATTCAAATAGGAAAATATATATGAATAGGTTCAATGGACGGATGGGTACACTGGATGGATGGGTATGGATAGAGTTAATGGTCAAAGTCAACACCTGTGGAGTAAAGGGAGGGAATTATTAGGGGAAAAGCGTCAAACTATTACGACTACACAGCCCTTGAAAGGGAGTCAGGATAAGGATTTAGGATGGGACGAGGGAGGGGGGAAAAGAATGCCGCCCAACCACTTGGACGGTCGGGGATTGATCGCCGACTTGCATGATGCGATACCCGTCACTCTACCGTCCACCCCAACCTTATGTGGAGTGGGCATAAAACCAAACCAAGTCGGTATCTTGACGTGGTTAACCTTGGCGTGGACACCTCAACCCCGCGCGTCGTCACTGTTGACATGGGCGGTAACGCGCAGGTGGTAGCGCTTTTAAATTATTACATTTTGAAGATCGAATCATGAAAACACAACATAAATAAATAAATATATAATATATATAATTATTCATTAGTATCAAATTCTATTTTCTAACTGTGCATTACGTCAACATATGTAGGGTGGTGTACGTGGATATTACAAGTAGAGTGTAAACATTAGGATGGAGTGAGCCCGCGCACGTCCCGCTCCCACCTTCCCGCCATACCAACTGAAGTGGGTAATAGTATGTCATTCACACTGATCGCCGGAGTGTCGATCTCTGGCATGACAATTCGAGATCGTTGTTCTAGCCAGTAGACCAGGATGCTCACTGTAAGGGGCTCAGGGACTGCCAATACCTGCCTGGTACGTAAGTTCTGAGACTTTGAACCTTTCATGGAACCTTTCTGCACTATGATGGTGGCAATCCTTCCTTCATCCATGTCATATACAATGCAGTGTATCCCATATGTGACTAGCCATTAAAAGAAGGTAATTCCTGTTGACCAGACCACACACTAGAAGGTGAAGGGACGACGACGTTTCGGTCCGTCCTGGACCATTCTCACAATCGACTTGAGAATGGTCCAGGACGGACCGAAACGTCGTCGTCCCTTCACTTTCTAGTGTGTGGTTTGGTCAACATACTTTAGCCACGTTATTGTGACTCATCGCCTGCACAAGGTAATTCCTAATGACAGACTAATAGTAAGCTAAATAATTAGTCTTATATGGTTGGGCTTCAGATGAGCTGATGTAGGATAACAGATCTTAAGCTGCATGAGGCGCGTCAGCATCACTTGATGATCCTCACTCTAAGCTAAATCAAAATAAAATAATAAAACCATAGGGAACTATAACAGCTAGCCTAGTCATATTCCTCCCTAACCAAATAGTGTTCATGTAACGTATGTAGTGGGGCAGATTCACGAAACCACTTACGCAAGCACTTACGAACCTGTACATCTTTCCTCAATCTTTGGCGGCTATGTTTCCAATTATTAAACAGTTAATGAGCTCCGAAGCACCAAGAGTCTGTTTATAACAATACCAACAGTTAAATGGGAAGTTTTCATCCTCGTAAACTATTTAATAAATGTAACCAAAGCCGTCAAAGATTGAGGAAAGATGTAAACGTTCGTAAGTGCTTGCGTAGGTGCTTTCGTGAATCTGGCCCCCTGGAGTCTACTACGTGTGACTTAAATGTAACGTATGTAGCTGGAGTCTACTGCGTGTGACTTAAAGGCGAGCTGCGACCAGACGAAGGTCAGGTCTTGACGCAGTAACCAGGCAACACAACCCAACCGGTTACTAACTCATGCCCACTTCCGTAAACGACACAACGACCTTCACCCCTGACATTCTCTGTCTCTTAATACTCAAAGATAATGCAGAAGGAATCAGGAAGTCCTGGCAGGGTTTACTAACAGATGCACGTGACCAGTTGCGTCATCCAAACTGGATTGATGAGCATTATCATTGACTACGTACCAGTCTTGTTGCCAGGTCAACAGTGTACATCGAATAATACATCGAATACGTTATCGAATACGTTATCGAATACATCGAATACGTTATCGAATACATCGAATACGTTATCGAATACATCGAATACGTTATCGAATACATCGAATACGTTATCGAATACATCGAATACGTTATCGAATACATCGAATACGTTATCGAATACATCGAATACGTTATCGAATACATCGAATACATCGAATACGTTATCGAATACATCGAATACGTTATCGAATACATTAGCGAATACATCGAACGTTATCGAATACATACATTATGCCAGCAATGAGCATAAGTCGTGTTAGTGTTTTATGTGCCTGTATATTTACTCTTTTATAGAGAACTGTTATTTGTGCATGACTTAACACTATATAGGAGTAATAATTATAATAACAAGCTCTAAATATCCTACAGCAAACATAACCGAAGCCATTACTGCAGTTACACGAGGCTGCACCCTACAGTGTTGCATCATTAGTCATAATAAAGGCAGCTCGGGCCCCAAACCGGCTCACAAGCTTATCTAAAGATTTTTTGAATATTGTTGAATGTCAAAACCCACCTGACATTTTTTGTCTACACAGGCCTCTGTGTCACACATATATGATTATTATTCTGAGTAAAGAGGACCAGTCTTGGCACAATCCCTGGAAACACAAACCGAAACTGTCTCTATTTTCCGCTTGTTACAACTTGTAATAAAGTTGTTACATCTTGGCTTAACGTGTTTATGACGCATTAGAACGTTGTTACAACTTGCTATATTGGTTGTTATAACTGGTTAGGTGGTGTTAAAACTTGTTCGAACGTTGTACCAACGTCGTAGTTTCGGTCTGTGTTTGGCGGGATGTCACCAGTAATCAATTACGCGCCGCTCCCGCAGAAATGACCTTAGTTTTCTATGTTGTTTTTTAGCACTAAAAAGCGTAGTTCTTTAGCAAAATATTTCAGCTTTATTTCGAAGTAATCGCACAAAATATATGTGGTTGTTTTTTTCTTATTTTACCGCCCTGGCAGGACCAAAGGAGCCGGTCGGCCGAGCGGACAGCTCGCTGGACTTGTGATCCTGTGGTCCTGGGTTCGATCCCAGGCGCCGGCGAGAAACAATGGGCAGAGTTTCTTTCATTCTATGCCCCTGTTACCTAGCAGTAAAATAGGTACCTGGGTGTTAGTCAGCTGTCACGGGCTGCTTCCTGGGGGTGGAGGCCTGGTCGAGGACCGGGCCGCGGGGACACTAAAGCCCCGAAATCATCTCAAGATAACCTCAAGATACCCGCAGCCAGCTATAACATATTGACAATATTGCCAAAAGTGTCAAATGCGAACAAAGGCTTGTTCGCATTTGTGTTCCTCGCGTGTGCCCCAAAGAATGAGGTGATTTGATAAAATGCTATGCCCAAGATTACCATCCGAGTGCCGGCAGGGAAGTGGTTCAAATAGCTTCGGCTATCACTTCCTTATGTCCGGTCGTGATGGTCAAGCGGATTAAGGCGTCCTGTAGTTACCAGTTGCGTTGCTCCTGGGAGTATGGGTTCGAGTCACTTCTGGGGTGTGAGTTTTCAGCCGCATATAGTCTTGGGGACCATTCAGGCTTGTTCATATATATATATATATATATATATATATATATATATTGTACTACAAAAAGTTTTCCAGATTGTTTGATTTTACCTTTGTATATTTTTTTAATTTTTTAATCTTTCATATTTGTTTATGCCAAAAACATGTTACTTTTTTAATTATTTAAAAATAAAAACAAACTGTTGAAAAAGCTCTCATATAAACAGAAATTACCTTGCCAATGATACCAATCAAATTACTTCACAGTAACATTGTTTTCAGTTTTAACCTGCAAACAAAAAACTGTAGGATGAGGATGGGGGGGGGGTGAGGGTACGTCCTAAAGGTAATTATTACTTCTTACTGAAGAGGTGATTAGCAAACATTGATCATATCAGAATCAGCCTTCAGGGGGTAATTAGTGGGAGATGTGGACGTGACTACTCCGCTTACCTTTCTTGACTCCAGGTTGGGGCTCCTCGACTAGCATGGAAGGAAACAGTTGCATGTCTTAGTTCATAAAGTTGGTTAATGAGCATGCACGCAGGTAAGGTAAGTCCAGTGCAAAGGAAATGCTGAAACATGTCAATGGGAACAGTGTTGCAGTATGCTGAAACGTGTCAATGGGAACAGTGTTGCAGTATGTTGAAACATGTTAATGGGAACAGTGTTGCAGTATGCTGAAACATATCAACGGGAACAGTGTTGCAGCATGCTGAAACATCAATCAAGGGGACCACTGGGAGAGCATAACAAACACACCAGCTTGACTATATATAACAATGTCATCATTACGGAACATAAACACAACTCACCTTCCTTAGTTTTAAGGGGAATGGTCTCCTCTGCGGCGTGTTGAAGACAAGATAGCAAGAGATTAGAAAGCGCTGGTTAATTATGATAACAGAACTGTATACATGCTTAAGTAGGGTCACCTCCCCGTACCTAGGCATGTGTAAGATAACAGGCGAGAAACCCAGTATGCCCTCCATATATCATGACCCCATACACTGTACCCTGTATACTGAATATGGGATGGTATATGATGTGCCTCTTATATAGCGAACACAATAACAAAGGTTGTTATTGAGAGAGAGAGAGAGAGAGAGAGAGAGAGAGAGAGAGAGAGAGAGAGAGAGAGAGAGAGAGAGAGAGAGAGAGAGAGAGAGAGAGAGAGAGAGAGAGAGAGAGAGAGAGAGAGAGAGAGAGAGAGAGAGAGAGAGAGAGAGAGAGAGAGAGAGAGAGAGAGAGAGAGAGAGAGAGAGAGAGACAGACAGACAGACATCAGTATATCATTTCTGACAGAAGTGAAACTAATAAGAGATAGACAGGAACAAAGAGAGAAGGGGAAAGACAGCAGAGTCAACAAGAGAGAGAAAAGCTCACTGAAGTATGACGAAATGAGTGTGTAGTAAAAAGTTCCATGAAAATGACGAGTTCTGTGAGAAGTGATGCAAGTGACCTCCCTCATAACTGTTCTCTCCCCACCCCCCTAGCTCCCTCACAACTCCTCCCCACCTCCCTAGCTCCCTCACAACTCCTCCCCACCCCCTAGCTCCCTTACACCCCTCCCCACCCCCCTAGCTCCCTCACAACTCCTCCCCACCCCCTAGCTCCCTCACAACCCCTCCCCATTCCCCTAGCTCCCTCACAACCCCTCCCCATCCCCCTAGCTCTCTCACAAGTCCTCCCCACCCCCCTAACTCCCTCAACTCCTCCCCCCCTAGCTCCCTCACAACTCCTCCCCACCCCCCTAGTTCCCTCACAACTCCTCCCCCCCCCTAGCTCCCTCATAACCCCCCCCCCCTAGCTCCCTCACAACTCCTCCCCACCCCCTAGCTCCCTCACAACTCCTCCCCACCCCCCTAGCTCCCTTACAACTCCTCCCCACCCCCCTAGCTCCCTCACAACTCCTCCCCACCCCCCTAGCTCCCTCACAACTCCTCCCCACCCCACCTAGCTCCCTCACAACTCCCCCCCCCCCTAACTCCCTCAGAACTGAAGCTGCTCACGTTGTCACTTTCCCTCCCTCGCCCGCCCCCCACCCAGCGGTCACCCCCATTTCCTCCTCCCATCAGCCACCATTCCATCCCATCCATCTGTGTGACCTTCCCTCTCGCAGCTGTCCCACCCAGCGTCCCACCTAGCCCTTAGCCCACCTACCGACACCTACAACCCCAACTCCCACCCTTCCCTACCACCTAACCCACTGTCCAACCCTTGCAACACCCCACACCCATTTCACATGCAGTTGTATATAATGAGTCATTACCCCAACACGCCAACCCACACACAAAATACACACTTTCCAACATTATATATTTGATCGCCCTTTTGTTGAGGATTTCAGACCAGTACGAGTTTCTGTAACTGTTTCATACACTCAGCGTATGAAAAAGGAATATTGTAGGATATTCTTGTACTCTAGCCAGAGTTTGCGAGTGCGGAATCACATATGCTCTTCTGATTCCATGTGTGACCAACAAACCTCTGAGATGAAGATATTAGATGAACTCAGAGCTAGTTTATGTTATCCACACTGTGTAATCCGTCATAAGGAATATGGTAGCAGGAGCACAGTGGTGTGTATACCTGGGATTGTTAATGAAAACAGGCCACCTGCGCGTGGTGCCCACACCACACTCGTCTCAGTGTCCTGGGTTACATGACGAAGCTCAGGCTACCTTGTCAGCTCCGGTTACTTGAAGGCTGGCAAGCTGTCTACATCCATGTGCCCCCCCCCCTCTCTCTCTCTCTCCGTCTCTCTCTCTCTCTCTCTCTCTCTCTCTCTCTCTCTCTCTCTCTCTCTCTCTCTCTCTCTCTCTCTCTCTCTCTGTCTGTCTGTCTGTCTGTCTGTCTGTCTGTCTGTCTGTCTGTCTGTCTGTCTGTCTGTCTGTCTCTCTCTCTCTCTCTCTCTCTCTCTCTCTCTCTCTCTCTCTCTCTGCTCTCTCTCTCTCTTGCTCTCTCTCTCTCTTGCTCTCTCTCTCTCTCTCTCTCTCTCTCTCTCTCTCTCTCTCTCTCTCTCTCTCTCTCTCTCTCGCTCTCTCTCTCTCTCTCTCTCTCTCTCTCTCTCTCTCTCTCTCTCTCTCTCTCTCTCTCTTGCTCTCTCTCTCTCTCTTGCTCTCTCTCTCTCTTGCTCTCTCTCTCTCTTGCTCTCTCTCTCTCTTGCTCTCTCTCTTTGCTCTCTCTCTCTCTTGCTCTCTCTCTCTCTTGCTCTCTCTCTCTCTTGCTCTCTCTCTCTCTTGCTCTCTCTCTTGCTCTCTCTCTTGCTCTCTCTCTTGCTCTCATCAATGTATTATGAGAGAGTCGTAGTCATACAGTCAGGGGTCGTAGGATGCTTATCCACTAGTGCCGCTTCATGTAGGAATACTAGGGAATGACGTTGCAGATGAAGCTGCAAAACTTGCAACTAACAGGAGGAATGTAAACACTTACATACCACAGATTACGAAAATAATTAGAAATAGAGGAGTGCAGAAGAAGTAGCGACCACAACACAGCCGCTGTAACATCAGGATCTGCGGGTTGGTACAAGAACTCGACCAACTAAGCGCCAATCATTGTGATGAAAGGGAGCAATAGAAAAAGAGAAATGCACTTACATCGCAGCAGGCTTGGGTACCCAGGGGAGGGAGCCGGTCGGCCGAGCGGAGAGCACGCTGGACTTGTGATCCTGTGGTCCTGGGTTCGATCCCAGGCGCCGGCAAGAAACAATGGGCAGAGTTTCTTTCACCCCTATGCCCCTGTTACCTAGCAGTAAAATAGGTACCTGGGTGTTAGTCAGCTGTCATGGGCTGCTTCCTAGGGGGTGGAGGCCTGGTCGAGGACCGGACCGCGGGGACACTAAAGCCCCGAAATCATCTCAAGATAACCCATGTACATAGGGAAATAGGCTTACAGGTTCCAGAAGTAGAAAGGAAATGTCAGCTTAGAAGCTCTGAAGCCATAACCTTTCTAAAGCCATTATACGAATCATAAATACGCATCCACCGCCCAATACAAACGAGAAATAAGTAACACGAGGCCTAAGTCAGGCTTAGGCCTCGCGCAGGGAATATCCCTGAAAAAAATCCTCTTTGACCATAGGGCATTGTGTGTGTGTGTGTGTGTGTGTGTGTGTGTGTGTGTGTGTGTGTGTGTGTGTGTGTGTGTGTGTGTGTGTGTGTGTGTGTGTGTGTGTGTGTGTGTGTGTGTGTGGTACCTGGCGGCGAGCGTGGTAACCCTCCCAACCTTACATATCTACTAGGTACTTTGTGTGTGTGTGTGTGTGTGTGGGGGGAGTGGGGGGGTGAAGGCGCGCCACAAGGCCACATATCTCATCACACATTCAACAGTAAACTGAGTTATTAATTCCAAGACACATTCTCTTACAGTTAGTAAAGGTCAAATAGTAAAGCATACAATTAGTTAAAACTATCTCGCCCATCGGCTGTCAACCCGGCATCGAAAGGTCAAGATAACGGTCAAAAGGTTATCATTTACTTGACCAAATATGTCTGTTTATATTATGTTATGTTTGGAGAATATTGGCCTTGGCGTAATACCAGTGTGTTGGGGTAGTGTTGCTCTCAAGAGTGGCTCGTGGCTCTCAAGAGTGGCTCGTTGCTCTCAAGAGTAAGACGTATGTTTTAGTGTGGTGTTGTAAGTTTGGCTCCGAGGGGGCCGAGTTTATTGGGCAGCAGCGCCACTCATCCTCTGAAGGGAAGGGAATTTTCAGGGGAAAGCGCCAAGCCATTGCGACTACATAGCACTTGGAAGGGGTCAGGATAAGGATTTGGGATGGGACGAGGGGAGGAGGAGGGAAGGAATGGTGGCCAACCACTCATCCTGAGTCTTGTAAGGTTGGCTGCATCCGTGTTCTTGCTCTTGTCAATTGCATTGAAGGAGCATTACAACATGGTGCTCAAGGTTGTGGGGCCAACCACCCCTACTCAACCACAACCAGTCAGTGTGCTGTATACATTATACATGTAAGCTGAGTCTACGAGCATACATCTGCTCATCATAGTTATAAGCCTGGGACTCAAGCGTACACCACTCTTATAAGCCTGGAATACAAGCATACACCACGCTTATAAGCCTGGAATACAAGCATACACCACTCTTATAAGCCTGTAATACAAGCATACACCACTCTTATAAGCCTGTAATACAAGCATACACCACTCTTATAAGCCTGTAATACAAGCATACACCACTCTTATAAGCCTGTAATACAAGCATACACCACTCTTATAAGCCTGGAATACAAGCATACACCACTCTTATAAGCCTGGAATACAAGCATACACCACTCTTATAAGCCTGTAATACAAGCATACACCACTCTTATAAGCCTGTAATACAAGCATACACCACTCTTATAAGCCTGTAATACAAGCATACACCGCACTTATAAGCCTGGAAGACGAGAGTGTGTATTAGAGAGAACCAGGGTGGTAAGACGAGGTGAGTAGATACAAGAATGTAAGAAATCTTGTATATATAAATAAATTAAAATAAAAAAATAGTTCGGCTGCTTCATTACGTTATAAGGACACACACTGTACGTATGTCACATGCTGAGAACAACCTCGTTTTATACTGGGCAACACAGCCCTTCTATTATTAATGAGTTGACTAAGTCGTTGCTCGTGACTCTTAGGTGGGAATGTAGATGTTTATCTCTCAGAATGTTTGGTAATATGTTTATTGTTTGTGATGTGTGTCTATGTATGTATTAACACGATGTACTGAACGGGGTGAGAATAGCTTGAGCTACCTCATCCCTTTGTGTGTATTTTACCTCAATGAACTTATTTCAATTTCAATTTCGTGACTCTTGTTATTGAAGCTGAGTTGGCCT